GTTCATGAGGGAGGGGGAAGTGGGGAGGGGGGGAGAATGAGGAGCCGATATTAAGGGATCATGTAGAAGGCAAATGTTTTGAGAAAGATGGCAACAAATGTACATCCGTGCTTGAAACAATGGATGTATGTATGGATTGTGATAATTGTACGAGCCCCCAATAAAATTATTTTTAAAAAGTAGACTACAAGCCTATTAGTTTTTTCTATTTAATACTATTACTCTGAATTTATAATTTTAAATCATTTATTTCAGGGTTAAAAAAAAAACAAGAATGAGCAGGTGCACAATGTCCTGCTAGAAGAAAATTTCATGGTTACAACTTTCCTACCCTAATTCTCCCAACTGCACATTTCAATTTTCTTAAAACTTCTTACTAATAAGCTCCTATGATCATCCTGTATTTTTGGAGAAAATCTATTTAGAGTAACCCTTTGAACTCCCAAAAAACAGTTGATATCACCTTCTGAGCTTACCTCTTTACCTTGAATTGTTCTGGCCCAGAGGGGCACACTGTTTCGACTAGATCATTTTTGAGAAGGTACTACTAGATTAAAACAAGTCTATGGCTGACAGACATTGTTTGGAGTTATCTATTGACCACAGAATGAAGTGTAAACATATTTTGTTTGAAATAAAGCCGGGTAAGTATGAACTGAAACCTTAATGGCAATGCTTTGTAACTTACCCTGGAAGTCACTTATTTTGTTGCAAAAATTTTGATATGTCTGATTACAGAATGCCTCAGCTAAGTATGTTATAAACAACTTTTAATAAAAAAAATCAGAAAAACATAAAGCTGTAACGTAAGAGACTAAGAACACACACTGCAAATCAAGCTGTTACCTGATACTCTGAATCCAGTCTATGTGAAGAGTCTCTTGAATGATAGGTATCATTTAAACTACTTCCTCTGCTTCCAGACATTATCCTAGCACTTAAAGAGCTGGAGGGTTGAACAGAAATTCTTCTTGGGATTCTTGAAGGCTTAGATTCCATTCTTAAGGTTTCCTGTGAAATGCAAATTTTGATTAATTGCCTTTGGGAAAACATGCAAACCTTCAATTCTTAATCCTCTTTAATCATGAGCTCAAATCAAGAATTAGTCATGCAAATTAGCTATATCTAGCTTGGCAAATTGTGAAATTATCTCTATGTTGCTTCTATAAGGCAGGTCTGAATCCATCAAAGGGTGCCTACTGTTCATAAACTGAAAGAAAACACTTTAAAGGGCTCTGAGAAATACTGAGGTCTGTTTCAGAGCCGAAGTTCTTTTCTCTACTAAATGTCGCCTTCAAATAAAATCCTACAGCAGTTTGTCCTTGATTCTCTTGCTTTTCTTAACGATTAGCGTCCAATGTGCATACCCTGATCATAGGCAAAAAATACTATTTGCATACCCCTCAACACAACATTTAAGTTAACAATTAGCAACAATTGTTCTTGATCGACTATTAATCAAAAGGGTGGCAGGACTGCAAAAAAAAGGCCTAGTGATCCTTCTGTAAAGATGCCTGCCAAGAACACCCTATATAGCAGTTCTATTCTGTAACACATAGGGTTGCCATGAGTCAGAATCTGCTTCATGGCAGTAAGTAGTCTATATACTCAATACAAGGAATCCTGGATGGCAAAAAAAAGTAAGTCAAGGTGTGTAGCTGTCTACCAAAATGTTAAAGGTTAGAGTCTATACAGAGCAGTTCTCAACCTATGGGTCATGACCCCTTTGGGGGTCAAACGATCCTTTCACAGAAGTCACCTGATTCATAACAGTAGCAAAATTACAGTTATGAAGTAGCAACAAAAATAATTTTATGGTTGGGGGTCACAACA